AGGATTACAGCAGACATTATGAAAATAAATTAAGGGATGACATGACTTTCTCTGTGTTGTGAATTATTTTGTTATTTTAATGTAATAGAGTAATACATATTAGCTCAAATAATTTCAATTTAACCTCATAGCAAAACCGAATATGAATATGGACAATAAAATATGTACTTTTCTGAACATTTTTATTGGACTCACTATGTTATTATCAGCAATAGATAAAATTCAGTTTTGTGTTGCCTCATGGAAAGAAAACATCATTACATTTTATTGTATTATGGCAAATATAGGACTCATTTTTAATTTTTTTTAAATTATATTATGTTTTGTAATGTAATCACACACCTTTTGCAAAATTTTAGTTGCTCCAATGTGCTCACAGTAGTTTAGGGAAATGCTTGTAAGCCTGCATGCAGTCATGTTGACATAACACAGGATTGTGTATCTAAATCCTATCTGAAATGCAAACATTAAAAGTTACAATGCAGCCCAACAAACTGTATATAAAACAAGGAAACAGTGACAGATATTTATGTTTGCTTGTCCTGACTGAAGGCTTGTTTTTCTGCATCTAGCTGTATGGATATCACTGAGGGCTGTGGGGGTGGAGGCAATTGAATGGCTGGGAATTCCTAAAAAAAAAAAAAAAAAGCAGTGAGAAGAGTGAGAAGGAGAGAGGGAGGTCTTTTGGCCACTTGTGGCCTTCACAACCCAGGCACAAATCATAGAGGGACATGGCAATCGGAGTGACAGATGAACAATACTCCCATTTTCCAACCCCCTGTGAACAGGCCCATCCATCACGGGAGGGGAGATTAATTCAATTCATCAGCTTTTTGTCTCCTTGGGCCCCCTAATGCCACCTGATATTGCTCAAGGGGGACTTATAAATGTTTGTGGATTTGATCTGAGCCTGCTTGCTTGACTTTGAATTAAAACATTACTCTTTACTCTTAGCTGTACACTGGTTTTGCCAACAGCCTGACGGCCAGTTCTGCCATAATTCTGATCAAGATGAATTCTTATGAAAAGGAAAATGTTTGCCGAAGGCAGCGAACAAGAACACATACTTGAGTTTGCAAAGTGAGGAGAGCTTTGGTGAGAAGGGGCACTGGTGGTTTCAGAGGAGAATAGCGGTCCTGTAAATCTTTCATAGGAAAAGCTTTAATGAAAAAGCTGAATCATCACTGAAGGGATTCAAATTTTATTTAAATTCTAGCAATGCACAGAAGATGTATAGCACCTTTAGGCATGTTAGCATATTGTCAGACTATTTACACAATGAGCACTTTATATAGCCATGTTGAACAAGTTTGGGCAGTTTATCTCCAACAACAGAATGTGCCGTTTCTAAAAATCTACACAAACATGGCAGCAATATTACTGCTCTGGTAGTTGGCCAGAGATCTGCTTATTATCTCAAATGATTAATCCCAAGTTATCATTTTCAAAGTTATGCTCTAGAATAGAGAAAAAAAAAAAATAAAAAAATAAAAACCATAAACCTACTGTATAGTGCAATATAAGGCCCTCAATCGTGCATAGATGTGGTCCTGTTAAGCTGGATAGGCAGAGCACGGTACAAACACAATGCTAGTAATGACCTCTAGTGGTCATTACAATAACTGACTAAAGGATTTGTCTGAAAGACTGGAACGAAAGCCGTGAAGAGCAGGTCAAACAAAGGCGACATCCACCTCCATTTATCCATTTTAAAAAACACAAAACATTCGGTTTTGCAGTGAATTGTGTTCAAAGCCTCCAGAGCAGCTTGATTTGTGAATATGATGAACCACTGCCTTTGCCAAGATTAACATTCACATATACTGAGGGGCTGTGAAGCAGAGGAGAGTAGCTACTTTTTTCAAAACTTTTTTTTTTTTTTTTTTAAAAAACAAAAAAAAAACAAAAAAAAAAAAAAAAAAAAAAAAAAAAAAAAAAATATATACCACTATTTTGGTTCCCAAAAGATGCAAGAAAACAGGTTAAGCAAATCTTAAGTACAGCTTTTAATACATTAAGTACAACTTACTGTTATTCTACACTAGCATATGTAGACTACCGAGTAAACAGTACACATACAGCCCTTATTTTCTTAAGCATAAAGGAAGCTTCTGACACCATTGCAGAAGCTTTGGGAAGAGAACAGTATCTTATCAGGAATAGTGTGTGAACGACAGTCCCATTAATACCCAGAACAACAAATACTTTGCCTAAACCAGTCAGTAACAACCCCAACTGGGGAAAGAGAAAAAAAAAAAGTTAGGGTAGTTCCAACTTGACACACACACACACACACACACACACACACACACACACAGTGTTAGGCCATAGTTCAGGTCATAATTTCAGGACATGCTCATGCAGGTTAGGTCATGTGATTTCAAGTGCAGATACAATGACAAAGTAGTGAAGGACTTTGCTGCATTAAACTTACAGGCCTCAACAACTGACTTTTATGACTAAGCGAAAAACTGTCCCATTATTTTCACTTCCGACTTTTCACACCACCACCACCCACTTCCTGATGAACTCCTTTGTCAGATATGAGAGCAAATGAGAACATTTTTCATTCGACACGAGACAGCCTCACGTTAAACAATCCATTTTAACTTTCAAAACAATTGAGGAATGAGACCTTGGAAGTTTGCTTCTACACAAAGTTCACTTTATTTGTATTTAAGCATAAACCTGCTTCTGAGGCTGATAGTGAATCCTGCCTCCTCTCCAGACACACAGGTAATAGGCCGTGCTCAGAGATCCCACTATGGACACCAGCAGGACGGCTGCCACCAGGGCAATTTTCCACACTGCCGATTCTTCTTGTTCTTCATCTGAGGAGAAAAAAAAAAAAAAAAAAACAAGCACTCATTGAATATATATAGTCTGGAACAGGTAGCTCTAACAAAGAAAAGACGATGAGTTCTCTTGATGATCATGTCACTGACATAGATGTACTACTGTCAACAGCCCACCTTGTTCCTTCATAACATATGGCTCCGGAGTAGTCAGCAAGTTCTGCTCCTCCACTGTCACCTGGGCAAACACTTCTGGTGGGATGTCAGGCCATACGCTCTCCTCTGCTCCTAGAGAATGTCCATCCATGTCTTCATACTGTAGACTCTCATCGGTGATAAGCCACTGGCCGTGGATGTATCGAGGAATTCCTGTAAAAGGTTAATATGTCAGGAGGATGACACAGAGGATTGTGTGTGTATGTGTGTGTGGGGGGACAGGTGCAGTGTTTTCAGCTCAGATCCTTCACAAATGAAATTCAACCACACTGATCAAACCTTCAGCTACCAACACAAGATAAATGTCACACATCTTTTCTTACCATGCTGCCCAGTGGATGCAGCCAAAACAGCCAAAAACACAAGATTAAGAACAAACATGGCTGTATCTACCGGTGGTTGGCTGTGCTTTTATGCCTTTTATGTGGGCACCTCGTCTGTAGAAGTGGCATCAGCTGTGATCTCCTCACTCAATCAAGGTAAATTACTGCAACCGGGCTCTCAGATCGCCCGGTCTGATGCGCTTTTGAGTGCTTCCATGTCATTGGTTAAACCATCTCTTGAATTACACCCCTTTCATCTTAAAGTGCCGGTACGTTGCTCAGGAAGTGGAAACTGTGCCCCCACAAAGAGCAAGTTGTAATGCTGCCATTTGAAATCACACCGTATAGTGAGGTGTTCTTAAGGGAAGCCCTTCATGCAAGACTGTGTTTAGACAAGGCTTCAAAAAATTCTCCCGAAATGGAGCCGTCAGTCAAGGTTCCCCAAAGCTACAAAGTGGTTCTGACTTACTTGTTGTCAATATAAAAGATGATAAAAGCAGAGGAAAATACTTCAGAAGGACTTGACAATTGTATCACTACTGATTCATGAAACGCACAACAAAAAAAAAATCAAGACATTTCTGTCATCGTATAATTTATTTCTCTACAGATCTTTCTTTCTCCAGTGTTTCAGAAGTTATTACAGAACAAGAGGATCATTGAATATTCACTGTCCATTGTAATGAATGGAGCTTCAGCTTTCAACAGTTACTTTCACATAAAAAATTATCTCCACCTTGTGAACTTCAGACAGAACAGAACAAAGTTTTTTATTCAGTTAAGGCTGAAAATGTGACTCATAGAACCCACTTCCAAACACACTGCCACTAAAGAAAACATCAAAGAAATGTTCAAGTAGGTAAACCATTCCTTTCCTTTTGCAGCATGTGATGATAAAAACACAGTGAAGTTATGTGTCAAATCTGAAATGTAAAATTGAACATAAATACACACATACACATATGTGTATATATATATATATATATATATATATATATATATATAATGTAGATTTTCACTAGAGATGCACCAATATGCTTTTTTTCGGTGCAGACATGTCATAGCAGGAAAAAAAGGTGTAATTTATAATTAATAATCAATTAGGGTGTCAATACTTGAGCTTTATTATATACAAATGTGCTTTTCCTGCTCTGACAAATCAAATGGTCTGACATGAAAAAGGTTTATTCCCTTATATTTACGTAAAGGTAAAAGTCTGTGCTTAAGTGGATGAAAATATCCAATACTACACACACACTGGAGCCCTGAGCACACATGCTTCAATCATTTAACAAGCCAAAAGAAAAAATTCACTGTTTAAATGGCCTCGTGACCCGATCTGTTTATCAAATACTACTGAATAGGCTGCATCGGTACCAGCATGTAAAAACATGGTAATTGGTGCATCCCAAGTTTTCACAATCTTCCCTTTCAGCATATCTCTCTCCATGACAAAGTCAACCACATCCTTCATAGCAAAGAGAATATGGTGTGACACATTAAACCATGAAACACAAGTTATTCTAAAATGGTACACTGGTGTATACTGACAAACAAACTGGCAATGATAACCATTCCCAGTATAGTAGTTCTTGTATTTGTCTTAAAGTGACTGCTCATCTGAAGCAAAAGCTACATTTTGTATCAGATTTCACTTTTTTTTTAATTTTTCTATATTTTTTATTTAGAATATTTAACATTATATAACCACTTATACCTTTTCCCTGTAATTTGCAAAGCTCATGTATGTACACAATGCCTAATTTCCCTTGCATAGTTTAGCATGAGATACAGTATATAACGTGGCTTCTCAAAGAAACGCCTTGGCAATAATATACAGACAGTAACTGTTTATTTCTAAATGAATCCCTTAAACCATTCCCTGCATAGACACACTGACCTTCACAGGTATTTGAGAAGTGCTGTACTGTCTCAATAATCTAAAGCCAATAATCTAAAGGATGAACAGCTTGTTGTGTCTAATATTTCCAGATGTTACAGTATTGTAAACTAATAATATCTGACTACAAACTCCGTAACCAACAGTTTTGATACTGGTGAGAAATCATTAAAATGCTTGTGAGGTCCACAGCACAAGTGCTACCCAATGTTCCTACAAGTACTCTTAGTTTAATAGAACTATGTACCACACTATACAGTATAGTGTAGGTAGAATCATACAGATTGCAGCTAGGATGTATAAAATGCTCCCGCTGCAAATCCTGGCTCCAATGACCAACAGTAAGGTAGAATGAAACAATGGAAAAGTGCATTAGACGCTCCTGAAACAGCTTTTCCAAGTAACAGATATTTTTGTTTTCAGAGAGAAGCAAAAAAAAAAAAAAAAACAGTCTAAGACAAACTTAAAGGAAGTAATGAATAAGTGGGACATCATGGCAAACTGGCTCTTTAGCCTGTACAGTACCACTGAATATGGCTGATTTGGAATTAATCTCTTGACATCTAGAAATGAGGTGAGGCTCTGCAGGCCAGAGAAATGGCTCACAACTCTACCCCATGAGGGCAACCCTGGAGGCTTTCTTTGTACTCACTATCACTAGAATGTAACAGTAGACTGTATCTCTGCCGAAGAATACTTAACAAAGCAGCAATACAGTTTTCATACTGTTACATTCCTATTTAAACTATTTTTTTGGTGTTGCTACCCAGGTTGCCCTGAGAGGTTACAGTTAAGGATCCCCAAGGGGATATTTCACAAAGTAGGATTTCACTTTTAACAACTAAACCTACCATTAAACATTTTATCATTTAGATATAAAATAATTGTATTACGTGTGTCTTTGACTAACTGTGAAATCTTGCTGCATGAAATCCTTCTGTACGCATGTTTAGTGCTTCACAGTGGTGGATAAACAGCACAGGTCTACGTAGACTGGACTCCTCTCTACCCAGGAGGGGACAGTGTCCAGCATGGTCCCTCTTCATTCGTGCTTCTCTCCCTCATTGTAGACTTTCCGAAGGCTCGAGTCAAGCAGGAAATCCACTGACCTACGGGGTACAGAGAGTGGAAACATTGTGATGACACATAATGTCTATGAAGCACTTCTGACAAAACTTGTGTCTCTGGTACATACAGTATTGAAAAGCCCTGATATCTTTAAATTAAGTGGCATTAAGTTGCTAAACATAAGTGTGTACGAGTTTTTCTTAAGCTTTAATATTATGTAGTTTATACAGCAGATAAATCAGTGTTTTGAGTTTGCTGTCTGCACTGACTTTGCACCCACTGCACCCACTGAGTGGTGAGTGCAGCTGAAACTGCTCATCATGTACGAGCAGCCTAACCCTTAAAATCAAAGCTTACATAATTGGCAACTTACATAATCCATGTACAGTATACGAGCACATATAGAAACACAGACACAAACGTGTGCCAACCTGTCTATAGGAGTGATGATGAAGGGGATGGTGGAGAGGCCGATAGCTGTAGTGGTCCACTTGCGGACAGGCAGAGGCCACTTTGTAGTTCTGCCCAGCAGGTAGAGTGACGCGGCGCACACACGGTTAATGGTGAAGCCTGGGATGATCACAGAGGCGAGGGCTTGCCACACAAACGTGTCCACCACTGCTACCGCTACCCGTGTCGTCTTCCCTGGGTTGTCCCCGTGGGCCTTTAGGAACAGATGGAGGATCAAAAAAATTGAAAATAATACCCTGAAAATTATATATCCCAATGTATTCCCAGTGTTTTTGGATTGTGACCCGGGCTTATAACTACGTTGTAACCAGTTTGACCAAAGAGTGAATTTTCTTACTTTATTTTAATAATTCCTAGACCTGAAGCAGTACAAGTGTAATAGTGTAACAGGGAAAAAAGCAAAGCTTAGATGAAAGCCTGAAAAATAAACACATGGCATAAATATTCATCTCTCTCTCTGATCGCTCAGATTTCTCTTATTACTTGGGCTGCATGTAACAGTTATCAATCATTTTTATTATTAATTACTCTCTCAATTATTTCCTCAACCAACTATTCAGTGTATAGAATTATCAGAAATTTGTTTTACAATGCGTATTATACATTCCCACAGTCCAAGGAAATACATACAAATGTCTTATTCTATTCGACCAACAGTCCAAAGATCTGTTCAAGATCAGTTTACTGTCATACACGACAAAGAAAACCATTCAATTCTGACATTTAAGAAGCTGGAACCAGCAGAAGTTTGGTATTCTTGCTTTTTAAAATTACCAAAATGATAAATCGATAATCTAAATAGCTCCCAATTAATTTCATAAATCGATTGTTGCAGCTCAGATGATGTTGAAGATTTATTTATAACCCTCTATGATTACATAGGAAAGAAAATTTGATCATATGGTAAATAATGAAGACAAAACATACTAACGGTCATGTCTTACCACAGCTGCCTTCTTCCCTTTGTCCACAGCATCAGCAGTAACGTACGCAGTGGCCACAGCATAGCTGCCCCAGACCAAACTCACTGGCACCAGAGCACGAAAGGCCTCCCCGACCTCATTGGCATAGCCTGTGGGCGTACACCAGGAAGAACCCGTTAAATTGTGGGGCAGATCCAGATCATTTACTATGAATGTTTTTTGTTTTTTTTTACTGTGAAATCTGGCGTATGTTGTTTGACATTGGCCTTGGCGGAGGTCTGCGCTCTCCCAGTACTGTTTCAGTTTGAGGTGAAATATGTTCTGTCTGTATTTTTAGCATTACATTCTCCAGTTTCCAACACATATATCCCGAAACATACAAGAGGTCAATAAATCTCAATCTCATCTGACATTGTCCTGGTGAAAATGCAGAGCAACATTTTGAAAAATTATTCAATATCCATTCCATGAGGATGAAATGGCTGAAATGTCCTTGATCTCTTATTAAGAAGTTACCTGCGGCGTACGCCACAGTGCATGTAAATCACTGGTAAAATTAACTCCAGTCACACACGGAGCATTATCTTTGGTTCAATGACAATAGAACCATCAGAGCGTGGTGGAGTCAAATTCTGCTGCTTCTGCTGTATGTCTCTATCACTGGCACTGCTGACAAAACTGAGGCTACTATGCAAACACTGCACTTTACTGTGCTACCTGCGCTGAAGGAAACACTTATGTTACGAGCGATAATACTGCAGCCAATGAAACACAGCTTGCTAACAATTTATCATCTCCCCAATAATGGTCTTTGGCTAAATAAATAAGACACAATCACTAGAAGTCATTGTAGTTCACTCTTCTCAGTTCTGAGAGAGAATAAGCTGGATCAGCGCATCCCAACAAGATGCATATTTCATATGTTCATATGTTAAATTACTGTCATTTCATGCATTATTTGTGGGGTACAATGGACTCCATCAGGGGCGTACAGGAAACATGGGTTTTAACATAAACACACAAGTACTCTGTACAATTTCTCTGTATTTCGACACATTATAAAGTTTGCTCAACAGTTTTTCCTTGTCTGCTTTAAGAATTTAATTGAAATCTAGGAATGTGTGAATCATGCATCCCGAGCTTCAGTGAATGAGCAAATCGCATGACTTTGCATTGTTTATTTTCCAACTGCCTCTAAGCAACAGCCCAAGATTACATCAAGCTCTTTAAACTCAAAAATTAGTTGTTGTCAACCATGTTTAGGGCTGAGCAACACACCCGACAGTGATAATGAAATCCATATTAGGGACATACCGTATTCAGGCAACTTAAAGTGCTCATAATTTCAAATTTGAGTTTTATTGCATCAAATCCAACATCCTGATCAAGAAAATATGTGTACCACAGATAGAGGCACTGTAACCCTTATGTTCTTGCTTCACAATTCTTCACAAGAGAATAAGGACTAGAAGTTGATGCTTACATCGCACAAAGTGATAAAAAAAAACCTGGAAAGTGAACAGGTATAGTAAAAATATCTATTTAGATATGCTGTACTCAAAACAATAAAAAAACAATAAAATCTTACAGAATAAATCTTTAAAAATGGAAAGTTAAAACACAATTTAGAAGGAAAAATATGATATTAACTGTTGTTCATATCCCTAAATGCTGAAATTTACTGAAAGCTGGCAAAGGATTTAATACTATACTACTTTAATGCAGTGAAATTCACAGTAAAGTTAAATATTGATCTGGAGCTGCAGAAGCACTTGTGAGTACAAGGTGATAAGAGCTCCATTTGTATAATAAAGTTTGATAGCAAGGGGAGCCTAGATAAGATTATGTTCCAGCAGGGCATTTAGTTAATAATAAAATATGCTTTGCCCTGCAAAATACACTGTTGCTAGTGAGTGTAGGGTTCAGATTACTCTTTGTGATTCACTATTTACTCAGTGCCCAGCAAGGCGTGAAGGTCTGTTAGGAGAGTGTGTTCACAAGATGTTGATAGTAGGAGATTCAGAAAGAGCAGAGGTAAGGAATGAAAAAAAGAGCAGGGTTAGGTGATGAAATACAGAGAAGCCAGAAAAGAAGAAACATAAAGACAAACTATGATCAACAATGATATCCATTCTCTGATCTACAGATCACCACTTGTGCTGTAGTAATTACCAACAGGGGATTTTAAGAGTAACCTGACATACTATATCACTATAAGAAACAGTCATCTACTAGAACATCAGGCTCTAATGTTATTCACCTCCAATTACCATGCCACTAAAACACTTTGATCTAAAATGGTTACACCAATTAAGCTGTTGGGCCCACTAATATATTAAGTTAGGGTGCTAAAAATTCCTATGTCAATGACCTGTGCCCTAACATGAGAGGTAGTAAACTCTTCAGGATGGCTGCCCAAATTTTACACAAAGCAAAGCAGCCATGTTTCAGGATAAACCCAGTCTTTGTTGCATAACCACGATTACAGTTTCTCCAGAGGAGTGAAAAATAAATAAATAAATGGTAGAGATCTGGGGAATCCAATGTATCCAAAATATGCATACTGAGAATTATTATAAAATATTAATATCTAAAAATGACATGTATACACTGATGTATAATCTGTATCCAACTCTCTATGTAGTCCTACATTGTTTTAAAAAATGGTTCACAACAAAAATCATACAAATATCAGAAACGATTGTAGGACCATGTTTTTCATTTCAGAGATATAGATATGTGACTGCATGCACAGGCAGGATTAAAGATGGGAGCACACAGATTATGATTTTATGAAGGGGATAAAGTGATTCACATAACATTAAGTGGTCACTGCTAGGGGAAAGAGCAGTGGATTAAGGCATGGAGACCAGGGGGGCAGCCTGCACAGTCAGGACTGCTGCAGTGTGGGTGCCCTTCACACTGGCTGCTGTAAAGCCAGCAGCTCATTGGGTAATCAATGACCCTGATGTTTCAATGAGAGGAAGGCAACACTGAAAACAGGCACCGATACTAAGTTGTATCTGGTTGTATCATCCACACAGTCATAGTGTTTCAGTTTTCAATCTAGTCCTGCCTACGGGCGTTTCTCCGTGGTTTAGTGAGTCACTGCCTCGACTTGCTTAACAACTACCTTTACTGAGACAGGACTGACTGAGCTACACAGACAACTCTACCAAACTAAAACGTTATGGAAACATGGCATGAACAATGCTTTTGTAGTACAGTCTTGGACGTCCATTACGTCCTGTGGTAACAAAATGACCTTCAACAGCCAAGTTTTCTATAAATAGATGTTTAAAAACATTGGTTAGCTAGCATTAGCTACAGCTAGCTAGCGCTCAGCTCCGGGGTCATGTCGGCTACAGTCTGTTCAGTATGAGCCACCGCAAGTGCTAAATGTAACAGTACGTACCAAGGAAGCGGACCCACGTATCGCGATAAATGTCGACCGCTTTGCTCGGCTTTTCTTCGGTGGTATCCATGCTTTTCCTTGCTTTCCCTTTACTCCATCCCCCGATGCTATACTAGCGTATATGCTCGGCGGTAGAGTGTAGGAAACTGACACTCAGGAGGGACAGTGAAGGGGGCGTGATTTCAACTACAGCACCCAACTAGCTGCAGGAACGTATCCCCCCTCCCTCATCAGTCACTTGATTGAAGATTTGTATTTTCAAGTAGGCCTAAAACAAAATATATTACTGTGAGGATTCCGTTTCCTATATGCTATTATCATTTGTGTCCTTCAGTTTTATGTGGCTTATTCAATTAGCAAAATGATAATTAAAAAAAAAAATCACTGCCATGTTTAGTCTACTGTGTGTTCTGTAACTGAAAGGTATTTTAGGCAATACAGTGCCTACATAAACAATGCAAAGAGAGTGGCAGGCTACAGTTCAATTTTGCCATAGGGCCCCATTTGGGTCTTCTGGAGTCATGCTGTATTTGTAGATGCAGTGTAGGTTAGGCAGCAGCTGATAAAACCATTCGGAGAAAAACAGGTTAGATCCTAAATGAAAGACATACAAGTTGGCTCTCCAGGGTTTAGGCCAGTATCACACCTTACACCCATACCAACAATTGAGCCCCAAATTTTTCATACCCCTTCAATTTTGTTGTGTTGTAGCCTTATTCCAAAATTTTAAAAAAAAATCCCATTTCCCTCATCAATCTTCACTCAATACATCATAATGACAAAGTGAAAACAGAATTTTATAGGGGCCATGTGATACAGTTATCTTGTGTCAGGTAGGCCTGCTCATAACTGTCTTGTTACTGAATTGTACAAAACTAAAGGTGTTTTGTGCAAGCCGTTTCCTATAAACTTTTAAACTGAATGAGCGAATTGGGATTTACAGTGTAGGCTTCGCATGAAGCAATGCAGCTCAGTTTTTGTGTGTGTAACTCAACTCACTCATACAATATGAATCACATTTAAACTTTTGTCACTGCTTACACTACAGTTTGAATTCTTCATCCCTTCTCCTTTTTGTTCATCTCTTAATAGTAATTTCTTTATACAAATTCAAGCCAACAACACAGTTTAGCCTCAGAGGCAGCAATCCTACTGCGATTTCTTGCATTGCTAAATTGGTGCGTGGTACTCTAAACCAGTAGTTCTCAAACCTCCTCACATCAGGGACTCCTAAACTAGCACAAATTAGTCCAATAAATTAGATCCCCCCTCCCCCCTTCAAGATCTTGTCCCAGGCTCCCCCATTTCATGAGATTTTTGCTTATAGATGTTTTATTACAGAACATCTTTAAAACCCATGACCAAAATATTCATACTTTCCATTATTGGTTTACTTATGGATGGAATTATGGTGAAAATAAAGTATCCCCTTTCTTGCTTGGGACCCCGAGAAGCCTCCTAAAGGACCCCTAGAGGTCCCTGGACCCCGCTTTGAGAACCACTGCTCTTAACCCACAAATAAGGGCTGCTTTGTTCTGGTGTCCTGAAGAATACCCAGATTAGTGTTAGGATTATTAAGATTTCATAATACAGCCCATTACAGCTCTGCTATAGTTGCACACTTCCAATTGAACTGCTTAATTTTCATTCTAGCCATTAACCAAAATAACCAATAAAAAGCGTGCATCCTAATTGACAGTCAAACAGACCAATGGTGACGAGCCATGCAACACAGCGGCCCAATGAGAGGGAAGCTGACAATTCTGTGAGGTGAATATTGCTCTACGATGGCCGCCGCCAGCAGCAGCAGCAAACACCACAGAGACTTCGAATCACCGTTCAGTCTCATTTCCAGAGGGAAGATAATGCCTTTTAAATCACACTGGACTTTCGCTTTCCTTATCCTTGCTGTGAGCCGCTGTTTTGCCGACGATGATCACGAAATGGAAGAGTTTCTGAAGCGGGAGTATTCCCTCTCCAAGCCTTATCAAGGTATCTCACCCGTTACAGGGACACGCCGAGGGGCGAGGGACAGATGTTTCCAGAATAACGTATTTAGCGATCAAATAGTAACATGTGCGCTTGAGCTCTGTCTCTTCTAATAAGTGTTTATTTGAACGTTTGCATGCCTCAGATAAATCCTACTGCAGCCAAACAAGGCGTTACTGTGTCATATAGAGTGTATATGTGTGTATATATGCTACTCTACTTATTGCCGCACATTGTGCTTCACTAAAGACCTTTATTGTGTCTACGTTTTCTTTGACTCAAATAGATGTTTTGTTTTTAGACAAAGCACAGCCGTTTGGTCGCCAGCCTCATTCAGCCGTATTGTGCTGTGTCAGCTGTGTCATGATGATGGTATTGTTTGTGTGCTCAGGTGTGGGATCCTCAGGCTCCTCCCACTGGGAGCTGATGGGGGATGCCATGGTAACCACCGAACAGGTGCGCCTCACACCTGACATGCAGAGCAGGCAGGGGGCAGTATGGAGCCGCATTGTGAGTATATGCTGTACATCTCCTGGTACAGGTAGAACTACAGTGCACTGCATCCTGAGCATTGGAGTGTTGTCTTCAGTGCTGCAACTAACGATTATTATCATTATCCGTTAATCTTTCGATTATTTACACGATTCATCATTCATTGTTTCATCTATTGAATGTCAGAAAATTGTGAAAAAATGCCAAGTATAATTCCCCAGAGCACAAGGTGGTCTTCATATTACTTTTGTCTGACCCACAGTCCAAAACGCAGAGATACTCAGCAACACAGAAGAGCAGCAAATCCTCAAATTTGAGAAGCTGAGTGTGTGTCATTTTGGCATTAGAAAAATGGCCAAAATATCAATTGATTATCAAAATAATAGGTGATTAATATTCTGTTGGTCGTGTACAGGATCAACTGCCTAATTACTTCAGCTCTACTTGTGATATCCCAGTTTGCTATTTCACAAATGGGAGCTTCGAGTATACCAAGCACACTATACGTGTTAGAAGAAATACGAGCTGTGCAGCAGCCTGATGGTAATGGTGGGTGCATTTCTAATGATTGTACCTCTCAGAAGCGGATAATAACAGCACTCTTTGGAAATGTGCTGGTTATATTTAGTCTTGAGAGGGGATGCTATATTAAAGTATGGGTTCGGTGTGGTGGAGCACAGTGAGAGGAACTATTTCTTGTTTCAGACGGAGCCTTGCTGCCACTCAGCAGCTCAGCTCTGTGTGTCTGTGATTTGTGTTCTCTTTTAACCATTAACTGTCAACCTGGCATCAGCCCTAACCCCAGTCTGTCGTCTCTGTAAAATAACCTCTAATGCCAAATGAAGCAGGGAAACCAGAAGACTAGTCTAGGTGTGGTCAGGTCCTGGTGAGATTGGGTTTGCCTCTTATTATCCTCTTATATGTTTATTGGCTAGTTATTGCAGTAAACACTATATATTTCACTGGCTTTTATTAGGTTTTTTTTGTGTTTCCAGCCCTGCCATCTGAAGGACTGGGAGATGCAGGTACATTTTAAGATTCATGGGCAAGGAAAGAAGAACCTGAATGGTGACGGGCTGGCCATTTGGTACACTAAGGAACGCATGCAGAAAGGTAAGAGCCGTATTTACCCAACCGTACTTTTTTTTTTATCTCAGAAGGAAACTCATTTTTATACGTCATTATCACCCTGTCTTCAAATTCTTTTACAGGTCCTGTATTTGGAAATGTGGACAACTTCACTGGCTTGGGTGTGTTTGTGGACACGTATCCCAATGAGGAGAAACACATAGAGGTATGCTGCAGTAGCACGGCTTGGATCTCACCTGTTCCGTGAAAAGTAAAGTGAAGGGTTTAATGGACAAGTGCTCTTGCAGATTTGTGTAAAGGGGCTGTGTTTGTGTTCTTTTGTGCAACCATTTGGAGACAGGCGCAGAAGAAGAGATACACTCCTCGCACACAGGTAACCATTCCACCCAACCCTATTTCTAATCTCATTGTACAGTCTCCAATGGCCCCCGAGCATGCTTCTCTTTTTCTTTGTCCCTGCATGGTTGCTGTGTGGTTGTTTTGGGGTCTTAGTCAGAGTAATGTAAAATTCAAAATGGTTATAAAATTAAACAGCAAAAGAAAAAATCTAATATTGCCTGAGTATATTTGATATGAATAATACTACAAAAAGGCATCAGTGAAACAGTCAATGCATGTTTGTAAATAGGAATAATGAACAGCATTGCGTCTTTATGCCTTTTTATCTTTGTGTCTTTTAGAAAACCTTCATGTTCTAATTGCAAAGCATCATTGTCCTCTATTTCGTTTTTTAAATAAACAGCAGGGCCTCCTCTACAGCCTGGTTCTAGTTGTCTGAATTGTCAAGGAAGTGGTCTGAATTTTTTTCAGCAAATCAAACAGTGGCTTGAAAATAAAAGGGCAATTATCAGGCTACTTCTATGTATCTCAGTATCTGCTTTTTTCATAAATGATGCTGGCATGTCTGCACTATATGTTTTGACATACAAAAGCCACATAAGGTTTTGAATAGAAACGTCCTCTGTTTACATGACAGCATAATGTGAAAATGTAATTCCTGTTAAAAAACGTTTCTGCATGTGTTTATGTGGCTTAGCTGCAAAGTGTGAGCAATCACCATCACCTCTCAGTGCTATAACAGTACATGATAACTGACTAATTTCATTTCCTTATTTCTCTCCTTTCCCACTGTGACCATAAGAGGATTTTCCCCTTCGTTCTGGCCATGGTGGGAAACGGCAGCATCAGCTACGACCACGAGCGAGATGGTCGTCCCACAGAGCTGGGTGGCTGTAATGCCATGGTGCGAAACCTCAAACATGACACCTTCCTCTTCATCCGATACATCCGCCGCAGGCTCACGGTGAGAGAGACGCGCACGAATAACACTGCTGGCCACATGCAGACACTTTTTCACGTCCTCAATAGATAAATACCACAAATTATTACTTTGTCATATAAATGCAGTATTGAATTATGTAATATCTTCTATTAGTGAACTTAAGATCAGAATGAATGGAAGCTGAAGGGCTCAAGAGTTTGGGCAGCAGCATGTTTATACTGTAAATTGCAACCTCAGTTGTCTACATAACCTTACACATAAAAAGTGTTTATACTCAAATCCAGTCCTAGGTTTTACTT